CAGATGAAGGATCACCAGGTGTACTGACACTCTGTAAAGTATTGACACAACTAGATTTGACATCTAGTACTCATTCTACAATAGAAGATCTACAGATCCTTGTGAAACAAATGTCTATGGTATAGTACTATCACATCATTTTACTTATTCATTATACATACAGACAAGACTAACCAGTTTCCTGCAATAACCCTTAACTGTAATTCAGATGTTCCTGTTCATGGAGAGTAACGCCCATTCAGAATAGCCAGAACAAATTTTAATACCAAGTTTATAGGGAAAAAGACATGTACATATGCAATAGTAGGTTTGAAAACTGAATTATTGTAGCTGAGACTAAAGTGTGGTTTTAATATCTCTTTCAGGTAGTTGATGACAAAGCTGCTAAGAAGCTGGTGCAGAAATTTGAGACTCAGCTGAACCAGTTAGCAGAGAAAGAGGAAAAGCAAAGCAATGAAATAAAAACACCAGCAGCTGAGCCTGCAGAGATCGAGACGAGCAAAGATGATGAGAAAAAGAAGTCTGAAAAAGAGGTTTGTATTTTTTGTGTATGCACATAGGAAAGTGTTAAGCAAATCATGTCAACTTGTTAATTAATTTAAATCATTTATACATCTAATTAGTGATCATTGACCCCAATTCTCAAGTGTTACATGATCCTTATTCAGAATAAGTATGTCACAGACATAGAAGACTACATGTCCTGGGGTAAGTTGGTTTGTCTGTCTGTGCAGCAAATTTGTGAACATGATATCTCAAAAATCAGAATCAGATGAAACTGAGCATTTGCAAGATAATAATAAGTGATAATAATAAGTTTATTCTCCTTATTATAACCAGTACAATAATAGAATCAAAAACTAAATACAATGCAAGAACATAAGTGAGAATAGGATCGGAAAATAGCAGGTGACTAATCTAGTCCTGTCCCACCTTCTTAAATAAATATGCATAATAATTAATAGGGCCTGTCAAAAGAAAAATCTAAATATGTATATATATTTTTATTTTAAGTATAAGATCTGATTAGGTTTTGGTAAAAATCTGTTTAACAATTAACTAGGAAAATTAACATATGATAGAATTCTTGTTTCATTGATATGACTGGTGCTCAGATTCACATGTCACTAAACAGTCATATAATTTATGTACACAATGCCACTCACACTGCTGTGCCCCATAGTTCTGCTATCGAACATGGTTTGGTATGTAAAAATGAAATGTTAATTCAGTTTGACTTGAAATTTAGCACCAAATAAGTTGTCAAAGGGGAGAAACCAGAGCTGTCACCTCGGTACATCTATTTTGAATAATTAAAAAAAAAAAAGATGTATATAATATATATATATATTCACAGAAAGGTCACACACCCCCTTCCTCCAAATCGAGGAATCATTCATTGTATGTAGTGAATATAAATGCACTTTATCTATGGCTAAACTACTTTACCTAATGCGTCTACCAAGATTGAATGTAATTAACAAAAATACTTTAATATTCGCACTCATTAGAATGAACATCAGGCAATGTCCTCTGAAGTCACTATCACAGTAGATGAACCTCCTCCCACGCCGACAACCCAGAAACCAACACCGGATATCCTAACAAGTATAGAAGAGTCAGCTGCAGACCACACACCAAAGAGACAGACCAGAAGTAAAGGTAATTAATATATTATGTCAGCTATGTCTTCTATTATGTATTCTATGCATGTGTGTCTAGGTCAATCCATTACAAGCAGCAGGCTGATTGTGTGCATCCTGTTGTCACAGACAAAATGCATGAATTTTGGTATGACAGAAAAATAATCACACTAATCCCCACATTTAAGCCATAATGTATCGTCAGTAAGGTTATTTCTTTTCTTGGTTTATAGGTAAGAACAAAGCCGGCATAACATTCCTTGGTTCAACTAGTAAGACATCCTCTCTGAAAAGCAAAAGCAGTAAAGGTTCTATACCTATGGAAGATGACAGGTGAGTTTATTGTTAAACATCTCCCAAATATTTTTTTTGCTCTATTAAGAGTGTTTTGGTAAAATTTCTATTACCATATTTATTCGGGTATAAGCCCAGGGTCCTGAACATGGAAAATCACCAAAAAAGAAGGGGTGGGCATTTGTCCGGATATCCCTGGCAAAAAAAAACACAAAAAATCACGAAAATTGGCAACACGCATATCAACTGCAACAGGGAGTAAAACGGCAAATAAAAACATTCAACAAAAATAAATGAACAATATGCAGCATTAGAAGTGTAACAAGAAATAATTTATTGCTTAGAATGTGACAAATAAACCAGATATAATAAAAAACAACAGTGAAGATTCATTTGAATTGGAATATCCCCATCGACAAACACGCCGCCCCATATGCATGAATTATATCTGGTTTTGACAAATACCGTTAAAATCCTATTATAAACTGCATACCTAATAGTAACCGCACCCCCGATTTCGGCTTCAGTGTTAAAGAGTTCTTAACAAAAATTGAAAAAATGAAAAGTACCTATTACTAACCGCACCCCCAATTCAACAAGACCGTGACTGACTTTGTTTCAACCAGCTGTTACGGCATTGTTCCTAATCCTATTCATTTGTTTCAACAACGTGCCTAAAAATATTCACACCTCTTTATTGTTCAGTAGTGTTAGGATGTCAAACACGCAGTGAAACTGCTTTAAATTTGTTCTTGCGACAACTTTTGTCAATACTCTTTATGAATACGTCCACGTGTCGCAAGTTTTCGACAATGAGCTGTTATCACCGAAAAACTGTTAAATGCTTTTTCAATGCTTAGTTTATCTTTCGAAAACAACTAATTTTTTAATTTAAAAAAAAGTCGTGTCGTTTTTCCATGGAAATCAAAGCCAAAATATCGCACGGCATTATCGGTAAATCTCTTCCGGGTTTCGTTCACCATGAAGTCGGTGACCATTCATTAACATATTTAAATGAACCAAGGTAATTTGAACACGTGGGCACCATCCAGCATTTTGATTGGTTAATTAGCGAACTTGACCTATTTGGTCAAGTAACGTCTCGTGTGCATTCAAACTACATGGCGGATGTCTTATTGCATCGATCGTTTACATGTGACCGAAATAATTCGCTTGCGGTGAAACTAAGTTGAATTTTACTTGCATTTGATAACAATTCAACGAATTTGTTTTTCGTGCATTATTATAATCACTACCAAGTAATAATCAACAATTTCTTTCAACACTTCGAAAACAAGTAAGTTATTCACATGTGAGCCGAAGCATGGCCGGATTGCGTTACCGTACCTACGGTACCGTACTTTTTTAGTGCTTGTTTTTATTTGAAACTCCTGTCAGAATATACTTTCCGTTACGAAGAAAATTAAAAAAAATAAATGCATATTACACTAAAAATACTGAGTATTTTTAGCTCCGCTGTCGACTTTGTCGAGCGGAGCTTATCATATGAGTGATTGTCCGTCGTCGTCGTCCGTGTCAATGTTTTACTTTTTCGACTTCTTCTTGAAAACTACAAGCCTAAATGCTTTGATACTTGGTGTATATGTACCTTGGGTAGACCTCTCTTAGGTTTGTTCATTTCATGTTGATATCTTTAATTCTCTAATTTTGGTGAATATTTTTGTCATTTTTGGTAAAAACTGATATTTTCGACTTCTTGTTAAAAACCGCAAGTGCAATTGCTTTGATAGTACATCTATAGGTACTACATGTGGACCTCTCTCAGATTTGTTAATTTTGTAATGATATCTTTAATTCTTTAATTTTGGTGAATATTTTTGTCATTTTTGGTAAAAACTGATATTTTCGACTTCTTGTTAAAAACCGCAAGTCCAATTGCTTTGATATTACATATATAGGTACTACATGTGGACCTCTCTCAGATTTGTTCGTTTTGTGATGATATCTTCAATTCTCTAATTAATTTATTTTGGTGAATATTTTTGTAATTTTTGGTAAAAAGTGATATTTTCGACTTCTTGTTAAAAACTGTAAGTCCGATTGCTTTGATACTATTCATATTGTTCATTTTCTAATGATGTCTTCAGTTTTTTAATTGAAATGTGCATTGCTAACAGCGAAGCTATCTCAGCCGATAGGCTGCTTGTTTTTTTTCATGTGAACAGTCTTTTTGTGACGTGACGCTTATCACTCTTCCCTGATAACTACCGGTAAATTGGAGTTACCCTTATATTCAAAAGATGTACGGTGTATTGTTTGTTTTGTGCAAGTGATGTGGGAAAAAATGACCACGCCCATTTAGTGATTGCAATATATACGTAATAGAAACCGCACCCCGAATTTGAGCTGTTGGTTTATAATAGGATTTTAACGGTACTGGATCAACAGCCATACAAGATCAATAATAATTTACGCAGTGAAATTACAAAAGTTCATAGTTGTTCGGAAAAAAAAATCTAAGATCTCTATTTGTACGTTCATTGCTATCTTCGTAAAAGTCAAAATCCTGAAATTCCAAGTCGGCGCCACTGTCGGGATCGAACAAAATCCCTGTAGCTTCGTCTTGAAGTTTGTTGATGTCGTCCCACACAATTTGGACTTAGCACATTTAATCCACGGATTTCACTGTCTGGTAGCTTGGTGACGTCTAATTCACGTCTCGTCAAAGAGACAAGAAAAATGGGGTCGTGACAAACAACTCGCACGATGCTTTTGTTTACCGTCTGGCAATCATGTTTGACCTTTAAGCATCCGCTTTACCGATTGGCTAAGAATGATATCATTACTAGTGTTTCATCATAGAGGTAAATTCAACATCGTTTTTTTATCAGACCAGGCGTTCATTCATCAATCATGGTGAAAGTTACCATTCAGCAAGTTGTATGGATATCGCGGTGGGCTTGAAATAAGATTTTTTTTTTCCAACGACAGAAGAATAATTTTCATGAAATGCAATAGCTGTGGTGAAAGATGGTAAAAAAGTTGGCAGTCTTCAGCATGACATTGCAAAATTGCTGGCCCCAGTTATGGATTCGCAATTTTTTATTAAGCCAAAACAACATGCTTTAAACCACTTTCCCAGGTACGGGTTGCTACAATATTGCAACATTGTTTTTATTGTCGGCGACGCTAAAGCCGAACGAGTGCGGCACTTGCTTCGTAGCTCTCGATATACTGTAAGATTTGCTTGAATCGTTTCTATAAGGAAACACAAACCTAACGGTCCTTTTCAGGGCCACGACATATTTCAAAAAAAGAACTACGGTACCATAATTTCTCCTTTAATATACATTTTTTTTTGACTCGCTGGCTGTTATGTTTCTAATAAAAAATCTTGTAAAAATAAATGTAAACTACCTAAACAGTGGTGAACGCGCTCTATTTATGTCACAGCTATTTCGCGCTCACTCCTTGTTTTACGCAATTGACATTTATTTTTCAATTTTTTTTATGAGAATCACAACAGACTGCAAGGAAGTAAACTGTTAATACAATGAACAAAAATAGGTTTTTGTTTTTTTATTTTCTTACAGGTGTAGAAAAAACACCCCTGGGCGTTTGCTAGGATATGACCTCATCTCCTTTATTTTATCAAAAGTGGGGGTGGGCGTTTGTCCGAGCATGGGCTCTGAGTTTGTATCTTAAATCACACCAAAACGCTGACTTGTATTCACTTCTAATTAAGCAAATCTCATCTTAGTTGCAGTGACTTGGAGAATGATGTTTTTGTAACTCCAGCTCCACCATCCTGTACTGTAACCAAGAAACAACCATCAACACGAAAATCACAACGAAAATCTAAACCTCAAAAAGAGCTAGATGTGGAATCTCCAGTTGCAACTCGACGAAGCACTCGGCACAGCAGCCAACAAAAGACTGATGCCAAAGCCAAATTGGTACAGCTGTTGTCTGATAGTGATAGCCATGCTGATGACGAGCCAGATCTTAATATTAAGAGGTATAAGACATTACTTTTCATGTGACACCTCTCACTGTAACAACTGCTGCTGAGACTACATCTATATTCTTTTACCAGTCTAGGGTGGCTGGTCAGACACCTTCACACTCTATCTGAGACTACATGTATTCACTATATTCTTTTACCTGTCTAGGGTGGCTGGTCAGACACCTTCTCACTCTACCCGAGACTGCATGGATATTCTTTCACCAGTCTAGGGTGGCTGGTCAGAGACTTTCTCACTCTACCTGAGACTACATGTATTCACTATATTCTTTTACCTGTCTAGGGTGGCTGGTACCTTATTCCCTTACAGATGGAATGTACTTCTTTGAACTGTGTCATTTTTAATCCGTTTCTGAATGTATGACCTATACATGATAGTTGTGTTTTGCTTGTCTGTAATTTTAGTCAGCTGATATTAGTATATCCCATTTGTATTGTTTTTTATCTTACATTTTATCATTGTGTTTGTTTTGCAGGAGAACCAGAAGGAGCAAAACACTCTCTTCCAAGAGTTACAAAGTATAGGGACTAGGTTCACCAGTTAACACTGCCATACTGTACAATACAATAGACTAATCCTCTATTTCAGTATTGACATTTATTGAACAAAAACTTGTTAATACTGAAATATTTTGGTTGTTTGCATCTAAATTTATTTGATTACATTTTTCTATATCAGTTTTATTTTTCTGTCTTCTTGTTTCTATTGGATTAATTTTGATGTATCTATGACTACAAGTCATTTTTATATTTGCTATATTCCATATTAAAATCATAGACCCATCATAGTGCCTGTTGTGTAGTACATTACTGCTGACTAGAGAATGAAGTAGAGGAAGTCTATGAAACTCCTGGCTTTACTTGCCTCTCAAATTCTTACCACCACATTCTAATCCTGAATTGCCTTTCGATATTGTAAATGGCACAGTAGATAAATAGTAATATCATTTTAGTGCTAAAATTCATCAAAATCAATTATTTCTACCATTGCAAAATATAATGGATCCTTTTTTTCCAGATTTGATTCAAAATGGCCGACTGATGGCCATTTTGTTTTCAATGAATGCTGTTTTTAGAGCCATATTGCTTACGTGGCTGGACTGAACACATTTGCACATCATGTATCATGTCTGTCACATGAGTGTAAATAATTTTTTGGCTCTGTTGATAGTCACTGAAAACTGGATAAAGAGTTGACATTGACTGTTTTCACAGGCATTTAATTTCACTATTTTGGGCAAAGAATTCTATTGTTATTTTACATGTTAATGTGGATTTAATTTAGCAGGTTTGACTTATCAGTGAAAATAGCACAATTGAAATAATGCTTTTACAGTAACACTTGTGTAGCAAACCTTGATAAGGTTGACCTTGCTTACCACAACACTGATGACAGTCCCCCTTCAATTTTTAGTGCCTGTCAATTGTAAACAAATAAAGATGTAGATAGATTATAATTAAATGTTGGGGATTCAGCATGTTAAAAATAGTGTCACTTCAAATGGCATCCAGGTTTTCAATATCTTGGAATAAGATCATCCTCATATCACATAAAATTGTATACTTAAAACAAACTAATTTTGAATCAAAAAACAAAACGTTGTGTGTGTTAAAGCATGTCTGAAAAATTATTAAGATACTTGAAAATAAAACAAACATGGCCACCAGTTCGAATCAAAGCATAAAATAAACCCATCATATTTGATGTTCATACCATGTTTGAATGAAATTGGCCAATGCACATGACCTACCGGTAACGTGTGATGTATGAAACAGGTGTATATATCCAATGTATGTACAGTATCAGTCCAGGCATATCAGATATATGAATCTGGGACTGCATTCTTTGAAATTACCACTTCTTGGCTAATTTGAACTCAATCTGAAAAGTGAAATGAAGTGTATCATGACGTAACAAATGCATATATCAAGTCTGATGTATGTGACAAGTTTGGAAATGGATGGACTGAAGAATGAGGTCAATCTTAACTCTTTGACTTCATCCAGACTGGGACTAAAAACAAATGTGCATCAGTAACCTGCAATGAGTGATGTAAATGCCAACTTTGAATGAAATTGCACAGGCATTATTGATAACATGTTCAAATTTAGTGATTTTATTTTTGTCTTGTCTCGGCCGAGTTAGCTGCACTATTAGCAATGCACATTTCAATTAGAACTGAAGATATTATCATGAAATTTGCAGTTTTCAACAAGTCAAAAATATAACTTTTTACCAAAAATGACAAAATTGAAGATGGAACAAATCAAAGAGATCCATCCAAGGTACCTGTATGTTCAATATCAAAGCAATCAGACTTGCAGTTATTCAACAAAAAGCTTATTTTGATTCTCCTTTGTTGTAACACGTTGCTGGATTAGCCCGTTTTGGGGATTGTGTGGAATCTTGTTTTAAATAATATTCCAATCCTGGCACTCACAAAACTCAGCAATTCTCCACTTGTGTAATCCTCACTCGCATACACTTAACAAAATACTCATAAGCCCATTTGTCACTGAATCTTTACTTCGCTGATACAAAATATAAGTGTAACATCTGCTGCAATGTTGTTTGAATCCACAATCGCCTGCAGCGTTAAATTGAGGCTTGCACTTAGAGCTTGGTCGATAAATCAAATGTGCAAGCCAAAATTTAACCAGATTTTGAACTTTTCCTAGTTTAGTAAATAAAGCCATATACAAATGGTGGTACGTAATTCTATGGTCTGCAACGCTGAAGACTTGTGAGATTAAAATGTTAATATATGAGAGCCTTTAATGTTATTATTCTGTGTTTCACAAAGTAAACACCTAAACAGCACGGTGCACAATGGTAGTACCACTATGCATGTATGATTTTTTTTTTAAAATAGGATGTTTGCAAAATTAGAAAACAAATTAGAATATGTCATAATAGTGAACAACACTGACAGTTGCACCGATTCTAAGAGTGCCTACATCCATTTATTCACTGAGAGTCTGTCAGATCAATAACACCTGAACTTGGGAGATCTGGTTCATCTGGAATATTTAAATTGAAATTTTCACGTTGTGACGATTCTAGAAGACTCTCCATTGCTGCATCAATGTTCCCATTGTACAATTTCAGCTTTGTCCGTGCTTCAATTCTGCTAATGTCTGGAAGTACAGCCAACATTGTACTTATCTTGTCACTTGTACAGTCTTCATCATCCTCATCTAAGATCATTTTTGACTCCTGTTTATTTCTTGACAATGATGGTAACTGAGTCATATCCGTAGTTTGTAATTTTAGAT